ACATGTGCTACTTCCTTGGGTCAGACTGCACCGCAGTGCTCACATGTGCGGATTAAGAGGTTTCAGAGTTGGGGGGGGGGGGGACACTCACCTGTAGCGGAACTTGGAGCCCAGGGTGAAGTAGAGGCTGAAGAAGCCCCTGTCTGGTGAGGCAGGCCGCTCCAGCCGGAAGAAGGTGTGGTGCTCCACACAGGCCTTCCACAGCGTCTTGCAGGCCCGGTAGCTGACCATGTTGAAGCCCAGAAGCTTCTCCCTCGTCTCGTGCTGTGGCCGGAGGGGGGAGCAGACAGCACAGGTTCAGTCTCGGCCGTAAGTTCCGCCCAGGATCCGCAGTAAGTAGTCTGCCTACCCACTCGATATCACACCCCATGTCCAACTGGTGCCAGCAAGATGCTCGTTAGAGCAGCCCTGTAATTAAGCAGCGATCTGCTCATTATCCCACACTGACATTCTCAGGAAGTGGCTCCTGGTGCGTGTAAAGAGCCCCCCCACACACACACACGCACATATGCGCACACACACACACACACACACACGCACAAACACACACACACACGCACATGTACATATGCGCACACACACACAAACACACGTGCACGCGCACATACAAACACACATACATACACACACAAACACACATACATACACGAAAAACCTCAAAATTATTTTGTATAACCCCCCCCCCCCCCCAAAGCTGTCTTGCTGCTAAAACTCACCAATTCTCTCCGGAGTTGAATAAAAAACTGTTTACATTTAAAAGATATTTTTACAATCTTCAGCCTGGAAGGGAAGCAGAGACACAGAAGCGTCACACAGGCCCATAAATACTGCTAATGATGTGCAAATGTCTGCTGACCCATTTCAGACCCCCCCCGCTGCATGAGTCAGTGATATTCTAAATAAAGACTGTGCCTTCGAACCCGGCTTGTTAGCTGTCCCTGCCACCGCCAGCCCACAGAACCAGAACAGTGTTAAGTGCAGGAAGCTGAAGGTCCCTTTCCTGTACGGGTCACAGTACCCCCCCCCCACCCAGGCACATGACTGTGACCCTGCTCACACTGGGTTCACTCGCTACTGCCCCTTGGGGGCCGCCTGAGTCTGTGCAGCCCGCTGAAACCCATCCCAGCCCGGCCCCCGGGAGTACTCACCATACGAAGCAGTTGATTCGGACCCTGTTCTTGTAAATGACCACTCCTGTTGACATCACCCCAATTAAAATCTCAGTGTTGCTTTGATCCTAAGGACAAGAAAGAGGTAAAAAAAAAAATAATAATTAATTTTAAATTCAGGTCATATATCCCCAGGAACTGGCACCAGTGCAAAGTGTGGAGACTTGTGAGCTGAATCTCACAAAACTACCACCAGGGCGGCACTGTGCTGCATTAGCAGGCATGTTGCCCAGGGCTTCTTCTAGATTGAAATCCAACTACAGCCCAGCCCTGGGTCTTGATGCTCTTTCCCTTCATAATCAAATTCTTCCCTCAACCAAAACACCAGGCTGTTAACCCCTGAAGGCATCTACTGTTGATGGACGGGCAGTCATGAGAAATAGACCCGCTCTGCGGGAAATCCCGCAGACTCCCCGTACAGGGTTACGAGGTGTAAGCAGATAGCAGCATTTCCTCACTGCTGCCTCTGTGTGGCACTACAGCACAAGAAACTTGCAAAAGCTATGCCCTTAATATTTCCAAATATAGGCAGCGCTGGACGTTAGGATTGATGCTTCGCTGCAGCTCAGACTTGCAATTCAGCTGGGAAACACTCGCAGACTTTAAAGCTTTAACAAATTGGGCTGCCCAGACGCATCATATTAATACGACGTGCATCTTCAGGGGACAAAGGCGGCCAGCCGGCTATGATTTGTGTCACTGTCAAATTTCAGTGTAAAAGCCACATGGGACAGACACCACCACACTGAAAGCCCATCTTCTCTCTGCATCAAAGTGCATGTTTGTGAGACAGCAACACTGGAGACACAAGACTGGGATGTGAGATACACACATAGACACACACACTCACTCTTGCGTAGTGCAGCTCCACGCCGTAGAGCTCCAGTGTTCGGGCCGTATTAAGGTAGCTGAATTCTGCTTGGGCGGGAGACAGGCCTCTGTATAGCCAGAAAAGAGGAGTGTCTTCAGGAAGGCCACCAATCAGCAGGCACCACAAGCCTATCAGTGCTGAACAACCCATCCCTGGCCCCACCCCCTGAACTGTAGCTAGACCCTGGAAATGAGCAGTATGGTGCATTCTGAGAGGGGGGTGATGGGGGGACAGCACACAGCACCGAGTACATGTGAAAGTGCATGAGGGAGTTCCCACTCGATAGCACCGGTCCTCACGTGTGCTGCTGGTGATGCTTCACCACCTCCTTCTCGAAGTCTGTTGGCTGGCCGGGGACGAAGCGATATTCAGCCAGGTAACCGGGCAGGTGCTCCTCCGGGCAGTAGTCTCCCAGTTCAGCTGCAGGAGATGCAAGAGATAACCCTAACACTCAGCCAATGCTAACGCTAACCCTAACACTCAGCCAATGCTAACGCTAACCCTAACACTCTGCCAATGCTAACGCTAACCCTAACACTCTGCCAATGCTAACGCTAACCCTAACACTCGGCCAATGCTAATGCTAACCCTAACGCTCAGCCAATGCTAAAGCTAACTTTAATACTGAATCGGTGCTAATGTTAATGATCTGGAAGCCCTCTAACCTGTATGTTTGAAACTGTGTTTAAGTGCAGAGTGAACACCACCGACAGCCTCCCACTCCCCAGCAATCCTGAGTCCAGTTTAGGGATCAAGCAAAGGGGCCCTAAGTCATGGGTGCCTCACTAGCCCTGCATGTGGCGGGCCCTGCAGGCTGGCCCCCGGGGCCAATCGCAGGAGTTTCAGCATCACTGTGACCAAATTACTGCCTGGATCCCACTTCATACATATCAACCACGGGCTCTGAATGGGGGTCCAATTGGACTGATGCAGTAAGCATCCTAATCACAGCATGACTGCAGTCAGGATACTACACCCTGTGGTCAGGATACCAGTCTCTGCGGTCAGAATAATAAGATACTAAACTTTGAGGTCAGGATATCAATCTCTGTGGTCAGAATATCAATCCCTGTGGTCAGGATATCAATCCCTGTGGTCAGGATATCAATACTGCACCCTGTGGTCAGGATACTGCAGGCTGCGGTCAGGATACCAAACTTTGAGGTCAGGATACCAGTCTCTGTGGTCAGGACATCAATATTACATCCTTCGATCAAGATGTCAAACTCTGCAGTCTGGATACTACGCTCTGCTGTCAGGATGCCATACCCAGTGATCTGGATACTACGCTCTATCATGTGCACAACTGGTGGGAAGGTCAAAAAAATGAAAAGACACAAAATGAAAACTAAAAAAATGATAATGTAACAGGCCCCACTGTCATGAGAGGGTTGGGGGAGAGGACTCGGAGAGGACAGGGGACCCGCAATGGGATACTCACACTGAACGGCGAGGGAGGCCAGCAGGGCGGCAGTGCTGTACGGACAGGGGAGCCTGTGAGGAAACAAGAAACATCAGCCAATCACAGCCAGAGACCAGAGGAGCCAACCAGAGCCAATCAAAGTCAATGACAGCCAATGAGAACCTCGCGTGATGAGTAAATGGCAGGAAGATGACAATCACCTTCCACTGAAGATGTCCTGTTTGAGCTGCAGAAAATACTGGTACCTGAAATGGACAAACTGGTTAGTGGGCACGACCAAAACAAGGCCAGAGTGTTTGACTGCTGAATGACCTCCTGCAAATATACAGATCTGACATCATCACTCTGAGATATTAATACTTCCCTTACTACACGCTCTTATGATAACCCTGTGGAGGTATGAGTCTTGTTTCCTTCCCCCCATAACACACCTACTGCTTCCTGCACCTCTCAGCCAGCTCTTAGCTCAGAGAACGACCCTGTTTCAGAGTGGCCTCCCCCCTCCTAGGTTCAACCCCAAAGTTTCAAACAGGCCAAACAGTCGGCAGGTTGCTCTGAGGGCCAGCATGCCACCAAGGTGTTAAAAATAGCACGCTGTGCCCACTGAACCTTCCATGGGGCATTTTACTGCACCACAGCGCCCTCTGGCTCAAAGATGGCGTACCGGGACAGCCTTAAGATTAGATGGAGTCATGGGGAGCAATGAATCATGGGACTGGTCTTGACCGGCGAGGAAGGAACCCATAGATGATGGAACTGATGTATGCTTGGTATTTGTAGCGGAGTAGGACCATCCTCTATACTTGTGTTCTTAGTAATGGAACTGGTTTTCGGCAATGGTAGATAACACAAAACAGGTACTGAGATTCACCCAAGTTCACAAACACATCAGTACAGCCTTGGGAGTTCCCCACCGATGCCGTGTCGGGTCATGACCCTTCCCTGGGTTTAGACTCAGGCCCCTCACCTGGTGTACTCCTCCTGAAGTTTGTTTGGGTCGCTCACAAAAAACTTGACCCTGAAGTTCAAACTGTGAGGTGATCCTCCTGCAAAGCAAACCACGGGATGGTGAATGATTCCCTCTGGCGGCGTGCGAGGTGCGGGTTACGGGCAGAAATAGGGACTTTTCACTTACTCTTTAACTGCTTCCGGATGAGCTTGTTAGTGTCGAGCCACCTCTGCAAAACAGAGACTCAGTGTAGTGACAGTGACGCACAGAGTGGAGATACACACAGCTGCATATGTCCTACCTCCATGCAGGTGTGTGGGGTGGATCTTGCCCCTGTGGCCTGAAGGTGATTGGGGGGGGGGGGTACTCACCGGACTGTCTGAGGACTCGTCCGCCAACTGTAGCCCAAAATAGTCCCTCTCGGTGAGCTCCAGGTGCTTGAAGACTACATCCAGCAGGGCCTGTCCTCGCTCGTGCTTCTGTGGCCAGTATGGAGGACAGGTGTGTCACACGGGAGCCCTGGTAGCATACCCACAACGCTCCTTTTCCCACATCTGCTCCGGCACACATCGTTCTGCCCCATGGAAGATGGATAGCGCCATCTAGCGTTGGACCAGTCGCTACCAGCTAACAAACCTAACAAAGGCCTCTAGTTACACAAACCTCACAGGCCCACACACCTACAACGTCACACTGCTGCACCCTAACCCCCCAGGCTTCTCCAGTAGCCCTGCTCCTCCCTCACCCTGAACCTGCGGGTGCCATTTGTCCCTCGCCGAACAGAAGCTGTCACTTGGCCTTTCCTGTCAGTCGGCCACCACAGAGCCCCCGGACGTCAGGCAGAGGGAAGATGACCATGTGACCGCTTCCTGCCCCCACAGAGAACGATTCAAAGTGTAAAACCGAATGTCTCTGCGCCCGTGCCTGAGCTTTTCACCCGGCGAGGCGGGAATCCCATCCCATGAAGGGCATCTTTGCTGCCACATTCCTTTGGTCCTGACCTCCACAGCAGCCCGCGGGACGCACGCCAAGCCCCATCTGCCAGCCCAAAGCAGACGTCCAGTTCCTGCCTTTTATAAAGAGCTTCTCTATCCAGCAGCCTGCAGGCTTTCTAAAGGCATCAGGAAGAGCACAGATGCTGCCTTTTTGGGGCCTCAGACATCTATTATACACAAAAAGCCGCTGGGGGGGTGCAGGGTAACCGTAACCATGGCTCTCTGACTGAGCCTCCTAGCAACAGGAAAGTGGGGGCCGAGGATGCGCCTTGGGGGACACCGTGCATCTGCATAGCTCGCTCATTCACTGCCCTCCCCCGCCCCCATCCTAAAGGCTGCCCATTTACCACTCAGACGGATGAACAGATTTAGCAGCTCTGAGGTTTCAGCAGCACTACCCTGAATGGGTAACTGATCAGCCTGACTGGGTCCAGTGACAAGCCAGATCCGGGTTGGATCAACCATCACCAGGACCCAAGATTAACTCCTCAGAGCTACATGATCCATTAAGTGGAATAAATAATGCAAGAAATGCCCCTCTATCCCTAAATATCCCTGCACCCATGCTCCCAGAAGTCCTGCAGCAGTGCCAGGAAGAGGAACCCACACCCACAATGCACTGCTGCAGATCAGGACAGAGGCCATGTGGGTAAATAAAGCCACTTTACGCTACAGTGAGGTGAACGCAACACCTCCAAAACACACCCCATTCAGCAGAACGCAGTTACCCATTATAGCCCCACAGCAGCTGTGATAGAGGGCAGCGCCCCCCAATGGAACGTTTTACAAGTATCACACAAGCGTGCAAACGCACACTCACCAGAAAACCATCACGGCGGCACGCTGGGCATTTACGCAAATAGCTGGCTACCCTGTTCCGAGGGCGAGTCGCGGGCCTAAAATTAACAGGGACTCTAGTTACAGTGTCACGTCTGCGGCGTGTTCTGCCGGCACCGGCGGGGAGCTGGAGAGAGGCGGGGGGGGGGGGGTCGCCTAGCCTGAGCTGTGAGCCAAAGTAAGCTGGATGGGCTGGTTTCCGGTATGGAGGAGCCCACTGGGGTATTAATGCACAGCTCTCGAGGCAGACGGAGGAAGCACATAAACACAGGCCCTCACACACCATAACCGCACATGGCAAAGGCCCGAAACCGGCACTCTGGCACCCCTGCGGCCTCCAGCAAGGGCTCCCCTGGCGTGGGGTAGGGTGTCCCTCAGGAAGGGCAACACTGAAAAATGAATGATGTGAAATGAGACACCCCTTAAGCCTTTTTCTTTTATAAAGTGTAGTCTTTATGAAGAATATGAAAGGGATTGGTCAAATACTCGGGCCTGAAGGACACTGAAATGTTAAAGTTTGAATGTTTGAAAGTTTTGATTTAAAAATAAAGTTTCAAATGAAATATTTTCTTAAACATCACACGTAAAATCTGGATGAAAAATTACATTTGGCAAGAATAACGTATCAGGATTTAGTGTCTGATTATCAAGATATGGAGAGGGTATTCCACACAAAGAAAGTGTTCCTCCGAAAGCGTCTTCCTGCTACAGTGTTTGAAACGCCTTCGGGTTTTCTGTGCAATAAGTAACTTTTCTTGGAGGCTCTCCTCATTTGTAACAGATCCTATGTACTTGTGTCAAAGAGACCCTCCTTTGACACCTAGAGACGACCACTTACAAAGACCTCGAGGTTTTATGACAGACCAACTCTGCATCTTTCTTTCAAGCTGCATTACTGCATCTGACAGGTTAGGACCTCCCGCCATGAACTAGCGCTTCGTCCAGCGTTTGCTGCTCGGTCTGGCTAGGTACGGTGTCGTCGAGCAGACAGAGTGGCCAGATCGTCGCTTAGGTACCATACATGACCTATCCCTAGCAACAAGAGACACCCTTTTGTTCACCACTTCATACTGAATTAAATCACTCATGAAGTTACAGTCATGGCAGGGAGCGGAAGTGACCTGTGGGGCAGTGAACCACGTCTCCAAAGACTACAGGGAAGGACAAACTACAGACTTCAGGGAAAACTAACTAAAACTGCTAGGAGTCTCATTCACAAATGGTCATCAAATCTGTCGTCAGCAATCATTCTCAAGGAATAAACCACACGAGCCATACATCAGGTAGAGCTCCAGGTTGGGAAAACTTTACACCCCTTTCCATGTCACCTAGCAATATGTAAACAAACTCAAGTCACTCCCTGCAATCAACCTCCCGTCAAAAAAAGGATAAAGCTTTAGCTGTGGAAAATGCTATGTTACAATTACATTGTATAAAGCATTAAACACATTATTTACCATAAGCTTTTCATTCACACAAAAAAAAAACAAGACTGGATTTTTTGTCCGATGAAGAGCTGCAAATTTGTCCTTCATCCCAAGTCTATAAGTAGGAAAGGAGCATTTTTCTTGAGATTCTTGTTAGCGTATGTTAAAAATGGACATTTACTAATTATATTGAAAACTCCCCAACAAAACAAAACTTCAAGGCACATGAGACACTGGCAAATGTTAATCAATCGATTTGAATCCTGGCACACGTCCTAAATTCATTAAAGGAAAAGAAGCAGGGGGAATCTCAATAATTTCATAGCAGTCGACCTCTAAGGGACATCCTAGCGTAGGGAGGTACTTACATCAACTTTGAAGGCTTGGATGGTGTTATCCAGGAGAAGGACGTTACAGAGCACCTCCGCATGCTGCCGGTCTCGTGCCAGCTCCGACGCCCGGACATTGTAGGATCTGCCAGCCGGCAAGCGGAGGCGTGCGCTCATTACGGTCCACACGGGGTCTGCAGTGCAGACAGACAGACAGACAGACAGCATGTGAATCACTGCAGATTCCATAAGGTGAAGTTGCCGGTGAAGAAATTATTTCTTCCAATAAAACTTCAAGAAATATATTCAGAGATAAAAAGAAATTCTCAGCTGAGTATTATGGGTACTGTGACAGTAGGATTATAAAACTACAGACCGACAATGAAAAAGCGTAATCATGTGACTCTCTGGGCCCCGTCCCCACGGTTCTACGTGAGCGGCTGGACATTTGGTTCATGGTTCCGGGATTAACAGCCTCACAGGGACCACGTCCTCCCCAAACATCACTAATCATTCCATGCCAAAGGCCTCCTTACCTCTAGGGGTCAGCACCTCTAACTGGCTAGCGCAGGCGGGAATGTTAACCAATGAGTCAAGCACCGCCATTGAGCCCTGAAAAGATCAACCTGAGGATGCAGCCCAGGGAGCCAGCCCCCGCCGCAGGCTGCAAACCATGGAGGAAGCTTCCGGAAATGCGCTGGCCTAGTTTTCCAGAGGCAGCTGTACACTTGCCCTGCTGTGAGCGTGCAGCGCAATATTGCGATGCTCACAATGCACAATCCCCACACGCCTGTCGACAGCAGGATGGCCTTGAAGGGAGAAAGTGAAACCCAGGAGCTAAAAGCGGCAGCCAGTGCACACCGGGGACAGCGGCCCCCAAGCCTGAACCCAAATCACCATCAGATGCAGGGCCACTAAGCAGATAAGCCTAAGCTGGATATGAAGCTCCCGCCCAACGTCACACTCACAAGCATCACCAGGAAGCCATCTCCCTACACGGCAGAGAACTTCAGTGGACAAAAAGAGACCCCCCCCTCTAAATCGGCATAATTAACGGCCCAGTTGTGGATGGGAGTCATGTGATGCAGAGTATTCCCCCTCACCTTGGCTTGGGGGGGGTCCAGGACCCCCACAGGAGAGATGGAGTAATCAGGGATAGGAGAAGCACACATCTGCGTGAGGACATTAAAGCCAGAAAGCAGCCGTGTGTGACATCCCACCCCTAAGCTAACAGCAAATCCTGCCTGAGGCTCCCGTTTAATGCCCATGATCATCCGGTGATAATGGCCGCCTTTGGACAACAGGAGAGTCAAAGCCTGCCTTTGCTAATGAGGATGGCAGCAGACACCTACCAAGGCCTCAGCTCTCTCTCTCTCTCTCTCTCTCTCTCTCTCACACACACACACACACACACACACACACACTCACACAGAGGGGGCCCTCAATAAGCCCCGCCCACTCTTCAGGGGCTATCAGTAGCCCTGCCCCCAGCTTGCCATTGGCACAGAGCTCATTATGTTAATGTTTTCACTGAGGGGCCGCTGCTGACTCCCATAGATGAATTTAAATAATAAGAGAGGAGGAAAGGTTCTCCAGGGGACCCTGTTGCTCCCAGCACGAGCTGCCGTCTGACCTCCTTAAAAACCTGCTGGCCGATTCGTCCCGGCACGACAGGGGCGGGTCAAAGCTGCGGTGGTGGGGGGGCTCTGTTGACCCGCCCGACACCTCAGCCGCCTGCATGTTAAAGTACAATCAAGCAGGAAAGCGGGGGGGAGAGTCCCAATCTACATGACTATGTCCTCCAGGGCACAGATGAAGCGAGCGGGTCAGGAGAGAGGCTGCAAGGGGGGACGGAGACGGGCAGTGAACACGAATAAAACGACAATGGCAGCCTTTCACAAAAGGTCAGATGTCAGAGGCACAAACGGCATGTCACCATGGGAATCTACACTGAGATCCTGGTACGTCCGACACTCACAGGGGTGGCAACAGGAGTTCCACAGGAGGCCCTGCCTTCCCAAGAGACAGACAGACGGACACAGAAACATACACGTACAGACAGACCGATAGACAGACACTGACAGACAGACAAAGACAGACACGTACAGACAGACTGACATAGAAAGACAGACTCAGACAGAAGGACATAGGAACGTGGACACAGATAGACACAGCCAGATGGAAGGACAGGGACAGATGGACAAAGACAGACAGACACGTACAGACAGACATCTACAGAGAGACCAATACACAGACACCTACAGACAGACCGATAGACAGAACGATAGACAGACACTGATAGACAAAGACTGATAGACAAAGACTGATAGACAAAGACAGACAGACACGTACAGACAGACACAGACAGAAGGACAAAGAAAGACAGAGACATAGACATAGAAAGACAGTCACAGACATGGACAGAAGGACGCAGGCAGATGGACATGGACAGGCACATGGATGGCAAAGCAGACAAAGTGACGGAATGATGTGAGCAGCAGGGGGGGGGGAGATCATGCAGATGGTTCACATCGCCATTTTATCATATGGGGAATGAAAAATAAGGACCAAATGACCCAAAATCACACACTGGGAGTTTCCGGTGATGGGAAACCCTGGGATAGGCTAACTGCAGCCTGGGCTGGAGGGAGCGGTATGAGAAATCAGGAGATCCAATGACGGCACACGACCATGAAATGATTATCCTGAAATAAATTTTCCGGTGGAATGTAAATCAATCATGGCCAGAAGATTTAATTCTTCGAGACAGGGAACTGTTGTGCGCTTGATGCTTTTTATCTCATGCATGTCGGTGTAGATGAGGCTGTGAAGTAACTAATAAAGCGACCAATAGGAGATGAGGCAGGCCGTGACGCACAGTACACAATAAGCCCGCCCCCCGCGGGATCCAAAGCTCCCTCTCCCATCGGTACTGAAACATTTTCCTTTCAGAGTTTTTTTAGCGCCACAGAAATGTGGTTTAATTCAATCGAAGTGCGACACCCCCCAGCCTCACACCCCCACACATGGCATGGGACCCCATCCAGGGCACTGGGCCGCTCTGAATCTCCACCAGAACCTCCCAGACAGCCGAGGTCAGACTTTACAGTAGCAGGTGTAACATAATACACTTATTTTTAATGCCGTACAGGGCGGTAACTCTCCACCATAAACAGCCCCAGAATAATCCCAATAATTTGGACTAAAATAGTCCTTTGATGGATGCGAGTGCTTAAGCTGTATCCCCTCTTTAATAATGTGCCACTCAGAGATGCTTCAAAGGCGTTTAGTGCTGGTTAAAGCTACGCACCGCTCTGGGTGCTAGTGTGAGCCTCAGAATGCTGCCCAGTTTTAGTGCTGGGATCACAGGGGAACAATCCACATCTAATGCCCGCACCGGACAGCATCCTACCTGACCACACGGGACGAGGTTCCCTGCCCCAGAGCCCAAAGCACTGATAGGCTGAGAGGAGGAGGAATCTACAGACTGCAGCCAATGAAAATCAATGACACACAGTAAAGGCAAGCCGAAGAAATCGTTAGCTGTAACCTAGTTTAAAGGCCCCCGGCGTGACACCTACGTTATACTCAAAGCTGGTCAGCCGGATCCTGTGAAATGCAGCATTATACAGCCAGAGCCAGTCATTCTGCAGCTCATTCTGGAACATTCTCACATCGACAAGAAGAGAAGAAACGTCTGCTTCTAAGTGGCTGAGCGGCATAACCTGACCGCCGTGCAAAATAGCCCCTCGTGGTTTCCCCAAAGACGCAGCGCATCCAAAATAACTCCCCAAGCGCGCAAGAAAATACGCAGTGCAGCTGTTCCAAGCAGAAATACCCCCAACTGGGTGTCAGAGCAGCGCGCCCCTGCCCTCCCGCTGCCCCCGGCCCCGACCCCAGGGCCACATGGAGGGCCATATGGAGGGCCCCAGGAGCCACATGGAGGGCCCCCGGAGCTACATGGAGGGCCCCAGGAGCCACATGGAGGGCCCCAGGAGCCACATGGAGGGCCCCAGGAGCCACATGGAGGGCCCCAGGAGCACACAGGCTGGCTGAGGCCCCCACGATTTCTCCAGGGAGTGAGTTCAGGGGGGTGAGGACTGTGACCCCGGGACAGTCACTGCATGTGCCACGTGGTTCTGGGTCTGCAGGCTGGAGCGGCAGGGAGACACTAAGGGAGACTCAGGGAGTCCCTCTCCTGTCTGAGGGTAACTTAAAGGTCGCCGAGGGCAAAGCCACCGACTGAAGGCCATTCAGAAAAAGTGTCTGTTAAAACCATCACCGACACAGCAGGCTCAGCGGACAACAGGGCCCCAGTACCCCTTGGCCGAGTTCCACAAAGGAGGGGAGTCTGTCAGTCACATGGTCGGCACCCTATTGTGTCACGTGACGTCCCAGATATGACACCCACCGAGAAACTCACAGGCCCTGAAACCGCAGAAATAAGCAGTCGGCGTGATTTTTACCTCCGACAGTCAAAGAAGCGGCACGAAGGTGAGAAACCGCCATGCTGTCGAGAGATGAAAGAGCGGAGCCTGAACGCTCAGCTGACCTCAACGCCTGGCCTGTCACATGATCGTCCCGATGTGGTCATACCGCGGTCACTGAGTGGGCCAAGCCAGTGGGGAAAGGTGTTTTAGGGGGGAGGACCTTGGGGGCGGATTCTCGTGTAGGGAAACATGTCTGCTGCATGGAAACTGAGGGTCTGCGGGGCGCCCCCTACTGTCACCCACAACCGACAGAAAAGCCAGTCATCCGGGAGCAGGGGGGGGGACTTTCCCTGGTCACTCTAAGAATCTCCAGTCATCGTGTGCCACGTTATGCCCCTCCCACCCAAAACACAGAGCCCCACTCCCCGTGCAGCGGCGCCGTCGCACCATCCACCTCCTCGCCACCCCCGCACCATCCACCGCCACAGTGCATTTAAGCAGCCGTGCGTCACACATCGTGCAGGTAGGTGGCGCCCTGAACAAAAGGATGACATCATTCACTCCGGAGGCTGCCTGCTGGACTGATTCGTCCTCCCGGAGGCGGGGGGGGGATTCTGTGCGAGCCTTTGTTCACTATCCACCTCCCCCCACCCCCCACCCCCCATTAAGCACACACTTTCCAAGGCTCTCCTCTGTTCAGGAATATGACGTCTCCCCAACGCCGCCCCCCCCAAAGGTAAAACCGGATTCACTGCTACCTGCCCTCCTGGGAGAGGCCCTGGAGCTGCATCTCAGCGGAGGGAGGGCAACACAGGCAGGGACATGGAGGTGAAGGAAGGGCGAGAGGGAGACCCGCCGTCAACCATAGAGCCCACGGGGTGTTGCGGGGCAGCCTGGGGGCTCCTCCCCTCCCCAGCTCCACCACACGCCCTCACAATGACAGCAGGAGCTCCATTCGCCACAGCCATGCCGACGCCGTCACCCACCCCTGGTGACACACGGGGCCCGGAGCCCCACACATCTGCACGAGGCCAACCACCATGGCTGCCCGCAGATCCAAATCCGGTCAAGCTGCTCTTGTTGTGTTTTGAGGACAATCCTGGAACGGGCGTGGCAAATACTGGGAAGCCGAAAAAGTGGAACACAAGGCGGGATGAATCAGCGCTGACACTCGAGACTGCAGGGGGACGGAAAACGGTCACTAAGGGGAAGCACAATCAGTGATGTGCATTGTTCCTGTTATTAATTCGGAATAACACCAGAGCTGCGCTCTCAGCACAGAGCAACAACAGCAGCACCTCAACCGCGACGGAACAACGGCACTCAGACGATGCGGGAGGCACCCGTCAGGTGAGGCAGACAGCCCCACCTCATGTCACCGGTGCGGAGAGAGAGAGCGCCACTCAACGGTAATCCTGTCCCCAAGCAAGGTCCACCGCCCATCAGTCGGACCAGCACACCCAGCCTCGAAGGTGCGTGTGTCAGTCGAAACCCAAACTGCACAGAAACCAGATCAAAACCCAGACCAATAAGAGACCCGTGGACGAGCCAAGTTCAGCGACAGTGCTGCGTGCTCGAACCCGGCCGGGATCCTAATCCGGGCTGAGCAGGACGCGACCCATTTACTGGGAGAAGGTAAACGTGCATTTCCACACCCTGAAACAACTCATCAACTGCACACAGCCAACAAAGTCGCAGTGAAAAGGAGACACACAAGTGGGAAAACTGCTCCAGTGACTATTCATCAAGGTTATTACAGGGTGGCTGCCAGTGTGACTGTTTTAATTGCCTTATTAGTAAAGTCACATGAATATTTATCTACATGTCAGTCTAACGAAGACGTCAGGAATGCACAAGTGGCCCAGTGTGCCCTGCTGCAGGGACAGCTGCCCCGCATGGGGGCCGTAGGAGTGCCAGCATCACACTGGCTCCTGCGGAAAACCCCAGATCCGAAGAGCCCTGGGCTCGGTCTCCCCAGGTGCCTCCTTTAAAACGGGGGGAGCGATACAGCAAAAATATCTGGAACTGAAGACACCGGCTTCATTGTGGGAGAGGGGCAGCTCACAGGAGCTGCTGAATATGCTGAATCAGCACCCCCCCCCCCAAATAAGCGGGTCTTTGGCCCCAGTGTGGAGCCGCTTACAGTGCGGCGTGCAAATAAAAGCACGGTAAGATTCCTCGTTTAGGTTCGGTTACGCGAAGGGGGAGGGCCACACTCCACCCCCGCCCCCTGGCACACACCTGCTGCGCTGCACGTTATGGCCTCAGCACCAGCATTCAGCACGTGGGGTGGGGGTGGGCAAAAGAGGCAGGATTGACAGCAACAAGGTCAGCTTAATGAGGAAAACAAGACAGGAGCGAAGAAGCGTCTCTGTAAGTGCCCCCCCCCCAAACGTGACCCCAAACCCCTAACACCATACACTCCCAGGGGTTGCTTTATGCTCAAAATGAGAATATCAGGAATCTGGCCACCATCCACGGTTTAACATTAAAGCGGGGGTGATGTCGCTATGGAAACAGGGTCTCCAGTTTCTCAGACCTCGCCCCTCCAAACCCACAGAGACAATCCTTACGCTAAAAAGACAACTACCCCACGGCAAGACACGTGACCCCAGTCGCCATGGGTCTTGCTGGCGCCCCCTGGCTGCAGAGCTTGGAACCTCACGAGGGACACCAATGACCTGCACCTGAAACAGGTCAGTCTAAGGGGGCTCTCCACATCACAGTGGTGAAAATGGCTTGCTGCTCAGGCCTAATGAAAGAGCAGAGAGCCCACCCCCCCACATCTGCACCACAGCAACCTGTATGTGTGACTCAGTGCCAGCGCCCCCCAGGGAGACTTCACTTCGGTTGCTAGGGAGTGCAGCGGCTCTTGGGTGTATGGGGGCACATGGAGAGGATGATGCACAGTTAATTTGAACAGTAATCCTGAGAGCCGGGTGGGGGACCATTGGGTGACAGGCCAGGGGGGAAACGGGCAGAACACCAGCGGCTGACAGCTGCCTGCATAGGTCCCCAATCCGCCTGTGCCCTAGCAGGGGAGAGGAGTCCCCACAGCTTTGGCAGCGGGTATCATCAGTGCCCTGAATGAACGGACAGACAAACAGACATAGACACACACGCACAGTTCCCGGAGGCTGGCCGTTACATCGGCCGTGTTAGCGGTTCTGATGCACTGCAAAGTGAGTCTGTGCTCCGTGTGTACCGGCTGGAAGGGAATAATCCGGGTTATTCACTGACACAGCACGTCCTGCGGCAGCCTCCCCCGAGAAACTGCATCATCATCATCATTATTACGGTTATGATCATTATTATTATAATTATTATAACGTGACGCGGCGAGTGAGATTACGGCGCTGCTCACCTTCATCAACAGCTCTGACAGGGTCCAGGTTTCAGGGAACGAAATGTTATTTTTAAAAAGAAAAAAATAACGGGAATGGGGCAAAGGACGAAAAATCCAGTTCAGATCACCCGCTGCAGCCCCACCGAAGCTTCTTCGTCATCATCATCGTTATGATCTTCATCATCTTTCTCTTCCTGAGGCCGTACGCAGACACCCGCACACACCCGCACACACCCTCACACACTCCCCCACAGCCGTACATACATGCACACAACCACACTCTCACACACAGACTCTCACACACTGAATGCGGGGCCTCCCGAACCGCAGCTGAGGGTAATCCGCGCCGGGGAAGGCGAGCGGGCGGCCGGGCTGGCGAGCGGCCGTTACGGGCTGACACCGCTCATCTTAGTCCGGCGCCGATCGTTCGCGGGAACAGGGCGAGACAGTTAAGAGGGGAACTTTCTCCGTCCCTTCGCGTCTTCTTACTGCGACGTCGCCCACTTTTTACTCCGCCGCCCGAAGGCTTCGCTCACCTCTGCCGCAAAAGCGACAGCATAGCGACGCAACATGGCGCAGCCTCTGCGAGCCTCCAGCGCGCGGGGGAGGGGCGACGCACGAGGGGGAGGGGCGACGCACGATGGTGAGCGGGACGCACGGGGGGAGGGACGACGCACGAGAGTAGGAGGACACGCGGGGGAGAGGCCATTGCGTGGGGGAGGGGAAATGCACGGGCAGGGCGTCCGCCTATCAAGCCACATCTCTGGATGACCGTGCCTCTGTCAGTATAGGCTCTCAAATTCACAATCAATTCATTTATACACAAATACATAACGCAAGATTACACGACCTCTTTACATAGTTACATAACGCCAATGCACTTCATTCGCTCATCTGCTGTTTATGACGTAAGACAGGCGACTAACATTAGTTAACATTTTACTTGACGGAGAACAAATACTTAGTAATAACTCAGTTGCTACTGAGGTACAAATCATGAACAAATATAGCCGCTACTTCAAATAAAAGATGCGTCACCATTCATGAATGATGAACAAACACGAGATCAGTATTCCACTTGTGTTATTCTTTACTTGTTCCTTCAGTAGTTCCTTAGTAGTTCACAAAGGTTTACAGAATTAGATATAGTAACAAATATAGTAACTGTTTCAGATAAAACATGGAACATGATTCATTAATGATGCATTAAAATTAGATCAATATGTAACTATGACTTAACTTGTGATTAATTAGTAGATAAGTAATAGCATAATACTATAGTATTAATGCCAAGTCAAGGGAAGTGTTGCCGTTTTTTAAAATAATCTATAGTGGGTCTCGACTAGCTTTCATTTTTACGGGAATATAGTGAAATTGTGAGGCGACACCTGGCGGCGGTCTTTAAGAATGTTTAATATATCTGCATGTAAACGATTTACATTTACAGGATTATATTTCTGCATAAAACGTTTGAGTTCCATGATCTCTCCAGGTACTCTGATTCCCTTCCACGCTCCAAAGATTCTGTCTTTAATTTGCTCACGGTGTGTACCTGTGCCCTGCTATGGACTGGCAACCCACCCAGTTTGTACCTCAGCCTTGTACCATGTGCCATCTGGCCGCTAACCCGTGACGCTGACCAGGCAAAGCACAGGAAAACAAAGGAAACAAAGCAAAATAACTTGCCCCAAATTTATCGACAGCGCATAGCTCCCAACTCTAATTGAAACATACAATAAACATGAAAGTCAAGTATTCTTGACTTTCCTCTGTATATCTGTGATTCACAGATTACTTTTCAGAATATTTCAAATGCTACCCCTAATGTTCATTAACACATCAGTGATCAATTGTCTGATTACTTAACAAAAGTGAAAAAAGAAACAAGTGATCTAGGCATGTTTTTACTTAAATGTTTCTTTTATTTAATGATTCCTGAAACAAAAAGGTATTGAACCTGTTTGCTCAATAAAGTCAAGCAATTTATATGACTGAAACAAAAGAAAACATATAAATGAAGCCACCTCACGTTTCAAATCTATCATTGTAACAAGGGAATAGTATTTCACTTAAGTGTGAGTTATCCAGCCTTAACCCTTTCATAGACCTTTAATTAAGGATATTTTATCACAGGAATATTTTTCTTTCGGTCGCTTGGACACTCCCGCATTCCTCGTCTCGTAGCACAGCTGTAAAAGCCCACTGTGTTGAGTCTGCTAGAGACCTGCTTCACCCCAGAACAGCGAGCAGTATAAAAGGCAGCTTGCCAGTGCATTCGTGCAGGAGGACTTTGGCGTCAGCACGGCTTCTATGGCAAGGTGACATGGCCAGTTTCACCTTAAACTGGAACCCAGGCTGTTTGGGCTGTTTCCCTCTAGGTTTCCATCTCCTTGAGGAGGCTGGCAATCCCCTCCCTCCTGGCGGTGTAGGGTGCGTGTTTCAACCGCAGCAGACTGGCAGGGAACAGGTTCCCACTGGGTGCGTACATCTCCTCACCCTTTGGGCCCATCAGCAACCGCAGGACTCTGTTCCTGGATAGGAGCTTGTCGTAAAACTCCACGCCACCCCTGGCGTAGTCCCCAGACAGGCTGGCGGCCCGCCGGTCCGAGCTGTACTCCTGCCATTGGCTGACAGCGTCAGACGCCAGGATATAGGACACCGCCCCCAAAGCCAGAGCCAGTAGGGTTACTGCACCACGCAGCAGTGCCGAGCCGGCATATAGTCCAAAGATCTGCTTGATGCCCACCCCATAGGCACAAGCCCCCGCCAGACAGGTGGGGGCCACCACAGCCTGCAGGATCGGGCAGCCGTTCTCCAAGCGTGCCACCTCCCTGGCCACGCCGAACCGCTGGGCCTCGGGTGACAGGATCAGGGCCTCCTTCAAGGCCTTGCCAACAGCACTGTCCCACTGCACCGGCTCACCATTTATCAGGACCACACGGTTGGTGATGCCCGCCATGTCATCGGGGGAGCTGTTAAAGTTAGCTGGAAGGCCGACCAGTGCCCCAGAGGGCAGCCATGGTACCCCAGCCCCGATGGGATGGAAGCCATAAGCTGCAAATGCTTTGTACCTCTGTGGAGAGGAGATGTTCATGTCCCTCAGGACACCCTGAAACATGTCCACCAGTTTGCCAGAGAGGCTAGCCGGCTGTCCTTTATGCCAAGCTTGGTACACCTTTTTGTACGTCTGCTCTGGAAACACGTGGTAGAGCAAGTGGGCAGAGAAAAGGCCGCCACATCCAGCCAGGAGCAGCCCGGACCGGTACCTCTGCACGAAGACGGTGACCCTGGTGATGAAAGGCATTGCAAAAACCCTCCTAAACCCACTCAAGGGGAAATATCTGAAAAGAAAACGAGAAATCCAGTCAATAGAACTGCATATTCAAACATTTCATCCGACTTTTAAACTGAGATCTATAGGCTGAAAGCTGGAGTTTAAATTCGTGAAACGGACCGTATTTGACACCTGACGGGCTTTCATTTGAATAGCATCGTATTACCAAATGAATACCTACAAATATCTACAAATTCCTACGTAAGGACTCGTCGTTCTACATAAAATCGTCAATATAAATACAAAATTATTTTAAATTAACAATTAAAGAATTAAGAATACAATATTCACACTCCAGAATAGCTAACCCGACCAGAACCTTAGCTAGATTCAATTTCCCAAAACAACGTTTAAAAATCAGATAGGAACTTTTAATGTCATTATAGCATAATGCATAAAATAAAAGAATAGTTTATTTACCCTCGAAGCACATGTCAACAAGGACAGACAGAATAGAGCATTTTATGCGGTGCCGTAAAGCAAATTGGAATTTTCACGACAACGTAAACCATTTGCGGCAGAAAATTCTACCTTAAAATGAAGCTACAGATTTTTTTTATTATGTTTTTAATAAGTTGTTATGTGACTAAGAAAGCTCGTAATCTATGCATGGTGACGGTAATCCCATTTTTGTCATTAAAGTTAAGATTTAATATTGATACTGCAGACGACAGGTTGTAGTCAAATCTGCAATTACTTAAACTACCACTAGGGGTCAGAATGTAACAAAATTTGCAAAAATTACTGAAACTCTACCTCATAATAAAACAAATAAAAATATGGAAGGAACCGTTTGTTTGCAGCTTTTGTCCTAGAAACACCTATAGCACTACTGACTACTGGTTCTCACTTTGGTTTATGACCATTGACAATGTATGGTTGTCTTAGAATAGTATCACAGACACTATAGTGCCCTAAATATAAAACGGACTAGCCTGAAGCGTGAGTAATTTGTGATTTTGTGGACTCAGATTGGATGTGAAGACCTTCAAATAACATTTTATCCTGAGCTCCGAAAAAGTCCATAGTGTCAGCCCTGACGTTAGTACAGGTGGCTTTACATATGTGTTACTACTCCCGCAATATAAATTGTATTCAGGTGGACATCGCCGGACTACGAGTACCCCGGGATGAACACAGCTTCAGCAAACGGCAAGGCAGCTCAGCTCACAGGGGGCTGACATGTTGCTAATAAATTATTTGCAGCAGTCATCTGGTGACTGCATGTTCACTTAACAATCCTTGATTACCGTTGAGGTTGATGGCCAGGTCCCAGCGCACCCCGTCTTATGAAATATTTACCATCAGGAAGTTTCCTGATGAGACGACGTAAAAGAAAGCGAGGAGGGCACATGTGTGAAAGCTGATAACGTGGCACCGAGCATTGCCGCGAATCTTTTGTAATAATAAATATTAACAATGCTCGTCCACAGGCAAAAGCTGAAGTAATTAAAACCGCAGCAAAAGACGTTCTGCATTTACGAAGAAGCAGAAGTGTGCATCAAAAATTAAAAATGCATGAAGAATAAAAAAAATGTCCCCACCAAGCACTAATAAAACAGCCTCCATAGACCTTTATTCTGGGTTTCCATGGCTACAACCACTGGGAGTAATAATTCAACCAGAGATCCTATAAAAACTATTGTGTTTCATCCAGCTGATCCATTCCATCCAACATACCATTCTATCATGGTTAGAACATGATTAGACCATGATTTATTTCCCAGACAAGGGAAATTCATTTGGGCTTGGTCTGACACACATTTTTAGAATTTGGTGAAATCCCTTGCAGGGAAGTGTTAGAGCACTGTGTGGATTAGCTCAAGCTGAATTTGGACAAGGCTCATTCCTGATGCCTCTCCAGACCTGGGGTGGGGGGTCTTTGGGGTGACTGGATTCATCTAAAGCTGGGGTAGTGTCTACATGAGGTAACATTCTTTGACATCTGTCCATCATTTAGCTCAGTGGCAATTGTGTGAGATTTAGTCTGATTGAGAGCATGAAGCCTGCTTCTTGTTTAGCTGATCTTATCTGCACAGCCAGCTCACAAACTATTTTCTGTTTCCTCCTTGCTGTGCTGAGGACTCACATTGGCCTTCTTGAGTCATTCTAAAATAGAAGTCTTTAGCATTTCCTTTTTTCTTTATTTTTGTTGGTAAAGACACATATGATCGAAATATGCTCAGAATTTGATGCATGAATAACTAAAAAAACAACTTCATGTTTTTTTTTCTTCAGAATTTTGAAACAATTGAGGGTGATTTGCTGTAGCTTTCAGATAGAAATCTAAATAGTCTTACATAAGAATGATGAGAGTACATTTTCCAGCATCTGACCTATGGCATCAGGCATTTCCTCCTGGTTTGGTCCTGTTTGTTTGTTTAAACCTCTAAAGCGCTGTTTCCTTTACTTGGTGCTGCTGGTTAAGTATCTCTGAAATACGCACCACCATCTCAGTAACGCTCTCCATCTCAGTAACGCACCACCATCTCAGTAACGCACCACCATCTCAGTAACGCTCTCCATCTCAGTAACGCACCACCATCTCAGTAACGCTCTCC